CAGTGTGCCATGCGGGTTTGCGCGCGCCGTGCCACCGGGGAGCGCGAAACATGCTGGTGTAAACGCGGCATGTCGCTGGTGAGCGGGGTGATCGGCGGTATCATGTGATAGGATTGCTCCTAGTGTGTTGGCAGACCATGTGGCGAATTACGTCCGTGATGTCGCAGTGCCATGCGGATTTGCACGGCCTTGGTGGAAAGTGCCTCTGCGTGGCGCTGTGCCACTGGGGGGGCGCGAAACCTGCTGGTGTAAACGCGGCGTGTCGCTGGTGAGCGGGATGCTTGGTGGTATCATGTGATATGTTTACTTCTTGTCTGTGACAGACGGTGTGGCGAAACTATGTCCCTGATGTCACAGTGCCATGCGGAATTAAACTTGAATTTTGCGTACACATATGACATGGCACGTGCATTCACATCATACACCCTCACGCTCACATCTGCAGATCTACCTCTCCACCTCCACACACCCACACATCTGCGCATCTATATCAGCGCATCCACACTGTCCCTCCTTCCCCGCCCTCTCTTTCTCTCTTTCTACATATATTTTCTCTAATATAAAGAAGTCATGGCTCTTGGTCAACTCGATTTTATTTATTTCCCTTCTCGGAATCACTCACCCTCTCGGTAGTGACAGCGTTGTGCATGGTGTCGGATGGATCGGAGAAGTTCATATCTTGCTGCGCCACTGTCTCTTCATGCTCTTTGGCGCTGACGGATGCGATGCTGGAGGCCGCTCCGCCGTAGGGAAAGATGATGTAGCTTCCGTATTGTCTTTTGACATCGAAGACATATGTGGAAAATACAGTGGACCACCATTAACTCGTTGCTTTCTTTTTTGATGGGGTTGCTTTCAGGTTGGGTTCACGGAATCATCGCTTCTCATGGTTTGTGTCTTGGTTCGGCTTGTTCCTCACAGGCGCAGGACGACTTCATCGAAGTGCAGTTGAACAGCGTCTGGGTGACGGACATTCTGGGGGATCCAATGTACGTTCCGCACAAGAACTGTGGCGACCCGGTCACTGGACATTGCAAGCGCCACGCGCAGCAGGGCTGCCAAACCATCCGCGAAGAAGAAGCGTCCATTTTGGCTACTGTGACCTTGGCTGATCACACCGGGGAACTGGATCGGGTGTTGGTGGACGGGGATCGGTTGCAGTTTCTGGCCAATGTGAAGAGTAAGGCTGAACTGCTCACCCTCTTGATGAGGCGAGGTCCGCAGGCTGTCTGCTTTCGTCGCCCAGCGGATGTGCGTCTGGCGTACCAGTTGCTACGCAGGGGGTGCTTCAATCGCAGGAAACCGAGTCTGCCACCGAGAATTTGCCGGAGTGCCAGTTTCAGGCGCTGGCGTGTCAGCAGGCACTGTGTCGCAAGTATTCGGAGGCCAGTCGTCCCATGATCAAGCAAATCGTGCGGCTGGGGAACCAGCGGGCCACCGGCATGGTGTTTCCGATCGCCTGCCCGCATGACGACTTGTTGTTCTCTAGCTTCGGCTTCGGCGCCAAGCTGCGAGCCTTAAAAGATTTTTTGAATATCGGTGCGCCATGAGCATGATCTGAGTTGCCAACAAATCAAAAACACACACACACACACCAAGTAAGTTGCCCACAAACCGGAATTGTGAGATGTGATTGCCAGTTGTTGCGACTAGATAGGAGAAATTGAATCTAAGAACTACGCACAGACTATGTCAAAAATTTGAATCCAAAAATGTCAAAGAGCAACCAAGCAACAGCTAAACATCGCCAAGTATTTCCCAATTACATCACCGTGCTGGCGCGGGCTGAAGATGAAGAACCCAAGCTTGTTGAGACGGGCACGGGGGATGACAAGGTCATCATGCTGCAGTATGAGAAAGTACTGGCGCTGGAGAAACGCTTTCGGATGGAGGCCTTTTGTCAGCTGGCCCAGGCAATTCACTTCAACATGTCTGACGGCGAGGTGCATCTGGTGATCGGCAAAGTGACTGCGGAGGATGATGACACGGGCATGGTTCTGGTCGCGGAAAAGGTTTTCAAGTTAAGCCGTTAGGGAGGAGCGCAGCAGCATCGCAGCGGTGCAGATGATCTCTTCGAAGAAGAGGCATGCCGTCCACTTGATCGAAGCGACGCCCAACAAAGTGAAAAGCGCCAAGCGGTAGCTTGTCGCGTTTCTTAAAATCGCTGCGGTTGGCGATGTTATAGAGACTGTTCGTGCATCCCCTCAGCATGATTTTGTTTTTGATTTGTATATCTTAGAACCCGAGCTGCCGCATGAAGGCCTTCATGCTGCTCGTCCTGTTCGCTGTGATAGGGACTGTCCGCGTAGTGTGAGGGCACAAAGAGCACCTGGTTGCTTGGGACTTTATTGTCAATAAACACCTGGTGTCATGACGATGAGCACGTTGCAGTATTGCATGCTCATGTTTGTCACTGACTCCGATTTCGGCTCTTGTGGTGATTCTATGTCTATGTTCCTGTAGATCTCGTCTGCGCTTGCTTTTCTTTTTTCCGTCAATGATTTGGATTATGTCACGCACCAACACAACTACAGCTTTAACTCCATAGAAGAGTGGCCTTTGGATGCTGCTGTCATTTACAGGCCTACGGATCGAGCGTCACTGTTGCCTGGGAGTTCGAAAGCTGCGTGTAGCTTGCAAGACATTGTGGAGACCTCGTCTTTAAAGGTCACCGTGGTCGTGACCATGTGTGCGCGTGAGATGGAGATCCAAGGTGCGCCGACAGACTGGACGCAATACTTTCAACAGCAAGAGGTCTTTCACATCAAGTGTCAGTTGGAGGACACAACATTGAAGCCAGCAAAGCGTTGGCTTGAGAAAATTCCGGACTTGGCGGCTTCCTGTTTGTTCGGGCGAACCCACGACATCATCACTCAAATGACGCGATCAGCGGTTGCCAAAAAGAGGTCATCGTGACGTTAGTATGTGTGTACTTCAACTTCATGGCAAACGATGTTCTCTTGGAGTACGTGATCCGCTTGTCATGATCATGACGTCACCCTTACGTCCATAACGTTGCGCTGCCATTTCATCTGCGCATCTACGTCTACACCCCTCACCTCTGTACATTTACATCTTCACGCGCTCACACCCGCAGGTCTACCTCTCTACCTCCACACACCCACACATCTGCACATCTATGCTGCACATCCACACTGTCACTCCTTCACATCCGCCCTCTCTTTCTCTCTTTCTGCATATCTTTTAGTCATGGCTCTTGGACAACTCGTTTTTAACTTACTCGGAAGCGCTTGACAATCACCTGTCTCGCTCTCGGGCCAACCGTCGTCTATAGGTTCAACTTCTCTTTCCAATGCGCAGGGAGGGAAGGTCAGGAAAATCAAGATGCTGCGAGAAGCAGCTGCAGGAAGACTACCCTTCGCGAGACCGACTTTGGCTGGATTGACCTTCGGTGGATGGGTCAGTACGTGCAGTGGGAGTGGTGCACCATCACTTTCCTTTCTAGCGTTCGGGGGGAGAGTGGGGTTTAGGGCCTGGGTTTTTACGTTTGGATTTCCCCTGAACGCGAGATTGCCTCCACGAGATCTTTTTGCGAGCTTTGCAAGACCCCCGTGGCGTGTCCCACTTGCCGGATCCCTCTTGCGAGATCCCACCCCACCGCGCCGCAGCGCCATTCGCACTCGCACTGGGCCTCCCCAACCACTCTTTTTCCCGAAAGCATTGCGAAGGGTTCTTCCGGAAAATCCCTTGAACACTGACACTTCGACACTTACACTTACACACTGACACTTCCACACTTGCACTTGAACACTGACATTTCGACACGTACACTTGAACACTGGCGCTTTCACACTTACACTCACCAAAAAAATTCAATACCCTGCACCAGAGAGGTTTTGGAATGGAAGACTTTCCAAAGAGATTTAAAATCTCGATAAGAGATTTAAAATGCAAAAAAAGCAAAAAATGTTTTAAATGAAATTCTTAGCAACAATCAACTCAAAAAATCTCAAAAAATGGACAAAAATCCACACCATTCCACACACACACAACCCTCCACACCCAGACTTAGATCCAAAGACCCGACTCACACCACACTTGATGAAAAACTGATGTGACAGAAAATGTGTCCTGTGGGGCAGACCATTTTCAATGACATATGTTTGTTCCAGGTTGACACCTCTGGACAAGAATGCTCCACTATTCCACACACAACCCGCTATCCAGACTCATCCCCAAAGACTCGACTCACACCAAAAAGTCGGAAAATCTAAGGTTAAACTATTTTTGTCCACTAGGCATGGCCATGTCGAATGACATTAATTTTGTGCAAGGATGACACCTCTCCTCTCTCCTCTCTCCTCTCTCCTCTCTCCTCTCTCCTCTCTCCTCTCTCTCCCTCTCTCCTCTCTCCTCTCTCCTCTCCTCTCTCCTCTCTCCTCTCTCCTCTCTCTCTCGTTTCTCCTCTCTCCTCTCTCCTCTCTCTCTCTCTCCTCTCTCCTCTCTCGTTTCTCCTCTCTCCTCTCTCCTCTCTCCTCTCTCCTCTCTCCTCTCTCCCCTCCTCTCCTTTCCTCTCCTCTCGACTTAATTTGGGCAGGACCTGAATCCATGCATTGCCCGCTTAAGCATTGACCTGAATGCATACATTTAGCGAAAACGCACACATCTTCAAACCTCGACTGGAAGACATCATTGGGGCAGGACCCAAATCCAACACATTTTAGTGCAACCATGCATACAAGCCGGCATGAACTTTGACTGGAAGACATCTTTGCTTCCCTCCTCCTGTGAACACCCTTTTCATGTCATCCTTTTCTCACTCTCTCCTTCACTTTCACTCTCACCTTCTCACAACTCTCTTCACTTCATTGTTTCATGGTAATGCAAGCATACATTACACCATGACCTGCCACAGCAACTCTACACCTAAATCCTCTCAGGCCATCCATCAGGGTTCATCCCGGCGAAACCTTGCGGCCACACGTGTCAACAATGTGTCACGACTCTCATGCATTTGGCCCACACTCATCAGCCTTCAGGTGGAGTTGGCAAAATGGATGTTGAACTTGGAAAGGCTTTGCTCAGTGTTCTTATGTTTTTTTTTGCAGAAGGGGGCTGAGTTGAAATTTGATCAGCGCCAGACTGATGCTTTGCTGGGTGGCATGCGTGCGGGTGCAACGTTGAAGGTCCGGGCAACCATCTCAGTTTACATCACAAAAGGACTTGCATTGTGCGAATGTCGGGAAGTATCAAAATTCATTTTCGGAAGATGATGCAAACTCGTGAGAAGGACATATGTGCTGCTTCTGAGGTCAGGGCCAGTGTATATTCACTAACAACTCCCACCGGAGTGAAGCTGCTTGGCATTTTATTCACTGTACTGTTTTTGACCAGTGTTCGCTTGTGCGGCCAATGCTTCTTTGGCTGGTGGCGACTCAGGTTTGAGGGTGCATGGACAGAGATGCAGTGCCTGAACATGGACAAAACAATAGCACCAATGCTAGGAAGTGGAGTCCTGCTGGCATGCATTTCAGATCGAGACGCAAGCTTTCACTTCGCGGGCTCACGTTTGAACTATTCTTCTGTTCGCAGCAGGAGTCTTCCTTGAAAGCTGCTGTCCATGGGCAATCTTCAACAGCCTGCAGAAACTTCAAGGCCTTTCGCATCACCTTTAGCAATGCGCAAACACGAGTTCTTCGACAGTTCATTTCTGAAGATTGTATGAATATGTGAATCATGTCATTCAGTGAAGCATCCGGCCAAAGGTCTTTGAGGAGAGAGCTTTGTGTGAAGAGGATGCCCAGGAGACCCACAGCCCTGCTACATAGAAACGGATGGAGATGAAAAACAGATTGAGGAGCCCTGCCGCCGGTGCGGGCATCCCCGCTCTCTGCATGAGGCTCACATTGGCCAAAACAGGAATGTGCATCGAGCTAGTTTGAGCGCGATAGGTGTCAGTGGGCGGCTTGCAAGGGCAGGGCAGCAAGGGCAGCAGGCCAGCAAATCCAATAGTCGAAGTCTTCAGAATCTCGCTGGTAGTGCTTTGCTGTATGCAGACGTATACAGAATAGACACCGTGTGAGCAGACAAATACACATAGCATAGACACACATCATGAAGAAATTTCATAATGCTGCACTCAAAGTTTGACCGTCCAAGAGTTCCCGCAGTAGAAAAAGATAGGCACTGAGGCGCCGATTGAACAGCTGTTGCACAATAGTTCACAACGAAACTGAACGTGTTAATTGTTTACGCGTTTGTTGCTGGATGGCAAGAAATTCAAGAATGGAACAGTAAACAACTGAAATGATGTATGCAAGGGTATAAGGGGCAACATCCATGCATCAATGAAGTCAGTTGAAAGTCAAGCGGTGATCCTTTTGACGTTAAACGTTTAAAGGAATAAAGATCAGGAATTGGCTGCATCGTTTAGCTTCTTGCAAGGCTTAACAGTAACCTGCTTCACCCAAGCTAATTTGGGAATCGGTTGTTCGTCCCACAAGATCCTAATGTGAATTGTGGACAGAACATCAGCTGTGTTTCTGGAGGAGATTCAGCAAGGACAATGACCATGGATTTAGTTACAGCCACAGCTCAGGGAAGCTAAAACCATGTGTCCAAAAGATATTGTACCAACTCCATGTTGAAACAAAATGCTCCGAAAGAGGCACACACAGTAAATGCAGACAGATGTAGTACTCTGTGTTGGTCGTTCCATTGCTGAAGTCAGCTCCACGGAAGCTGTTTGCACATCACCGTTGTGAGGAGAGCGTGTTTGCCCTTTCCTCCTGTACATGCACAGCAAACTGGAGGTTTGTTCAATTTGTACAGGACACTTTCCTTTTGGAAGACATGGTGTGTCGCGTGTGTCCCGTCGGCGTACGCCAACATGTGCGGTTTAGCATTGACAAGCACACATTAGCATTGACAAGCACACACATTGCATCGCTCATTTTGTCAGAATCGAGTCATTGACCTCTTTTGACTGATGGCGCTGCAGGCCAATGACAGAGGAAAGCAGCCCCGCTTGAACCTTGACCCGGAATGTTTTGCAGTATTACTCAGCATTACTAGTATTACCATCCGAACTTGCTCCTACTCAGCAGCTTAGGTCGTTTGTGGGCAGTATCAGGCCATTTTGAACCTTTCTTATCTTTCTTCATTACCATTGGTTCTGTGAAGCATTGCGGTGCTGCTGTACTTGGCAGTCTGCAGGTTATTGTGGCCACAGTGTATGTTCGCCAACAGCCATGTACAACTGCGGCGCCGGTGGACCTCCTTATTTGGCTCTTCTTGCAGTAAAGTTATATTATATAGCTCCAGCTTTACACACGTGCAATTCTCATTGCCCGCCTTGGCAAAGTGGCCTTGTCAAAACTCCAAGGTTCAATTTGCACCTGCAAACAGTTCTAAAATACGTTAGATTTTTTTTATTTTTGCTTCTTTCTTCAAACTCCAAGACTTCAACTTGCACTCACAATCATTGTGTTCAGCTCCATGTCTTTTTTGATCGTGGCATCATTTTGGTTCAGCCAGCACAGAAAAGCTGGAGGGCGGGCATCCTGAAAACCACACCTTGAGCATCAGTAGAGCCTTTGAAGATTGATGTGGTACTAGAAGCACTTTGATTCAACGGCTTCAGACCTTGAGATACGGCACTGCTTTAGATCTTTCCCACGAAGATGGCTGATGGAAGGCGTCAGATTGCCGGTGCATTTGGCGGGGGGTCGCACAATCCCTGACCAATCGCGGCACGGTCGCACATTTCCATAGATGGATAGATCCACGAAAAAATGCACTGTTGAGAATAGATGCATATAATATATCATATATTGTATAATATAACATATTCTGTAGCAAATGCATTAATTACTAGTCCCCAGCCAATCGCCGGCCAATCGCAATGCACACTTTTACAATCATTGATATTTAGATGGGCCTTGCTTGCTCTTCATCGTTCTATGATGTGCATTTACGGACGCCTACCAGACCTGACCTTCAACAGCTAACAAGCTACTGGGAGTGCGAATCCCTTTGAAGCCTGATCTGATTGAATACAAGAGGTGCAATGAGGAGCCAGTACTGATTTGGATAGATTGTTAATGCTTCTTCATTGCAGGGATTTCTCTGAAATTGCCGCTGATATGCCTGAAGAGGAAGAGGCTCGCGGGTATGCAGATGCATTTCGAAGATAGCATCAAGAGCTGCTAGTTAGTCTTGCAGCTCAGATTGTTTTTGATGGCTCTATGAAAGCGGCAGAAGCGGCGGCACTGACTTCATTGATGCGTTAGGCTCCCAAATCGCCTCACTCTTCAATTCAGAGAAGTGTAGATAGAGATATACAGATTGAGAGGGCGGCAACGGACCCGGCAACATGCTTCAGATGACAGCGCCTTCTTAACACGCTGCACTCGGCGTTGTGGCCCTGAAGCCGCACATATCTTAGCTGGATGCAAGTCTTCCTGAAAAGAATTGACATGAGGAAAGAGCACCAGTGAATTCAGTGACTCAACTTTACTTAGAAAGAAGTGAGTGATCAATGATCTATTGCTTCCTCCATCTGTTGTAGAGGTCGAACTTGCACAGCCGAGAGCAAAGTTGGACAGCTGGACTGTTTCCATACATGTTCATTCAATCTCCAAGAAATCCAAAGTGGCTCTGTGGATCTCTGTGGACCAAGGCAAGTTTATGAACAACTCAGTTCTCAAGAAGAAGCCGTGGGTATGGCAGTAGAGGCCAAGCAGCACAATTGCACCTCAAGCAAGTATTTGTATTTTGCCGCGCACAAGCAGGCTGTGGTGACCAAGTATGGTGCGCCACATTTGCGACCCACGGATATTCAAAGTCGCAGGATGCTTGGCAGACCTGGTCAGCCCGATGTTGCAAAGCCTCCAGCTTGGCGCTGAGGTTCAGAACAAGATACGGCTTGCTGGTCCCTGTCTCTTGGCTTAACCAGTGACGAGCGAGCGTCAAACTGTCAACAAGCGAGCTGAGATTGCTCAGGATCAACTTGCTGAAATATGTGCCTTGGCAAATCTATACAAACCAGCACACCCGCGAGATCAGATTAGAAGTGACAGACACACCAATGCCTCACAATTTGGCAGCATGGCTCCAAGGCAGCAGCAGAAGTCAAAGACAGCAAAAGTGGCTAAACAAAAGCAACGCAAGAGGAGCATCGGCCTTTGTGAGACGGTAGCACTTCCCTCTGGCCTTCGAGCCTTTGATCTTGCTGTGACAGAGCCACTTTATCAGCGAAGCCAAAGACACTTAGTGTCTTGTACAGCAGCTTGTGAGTGGCAAAGCGGGATTCAAACATCGAGCTCTACCCAGGTCAAGGTCCATGCGGTCACTAGTAGAATCTAGACTCTAGACCGAAGGAAATTGGAATTGCTTTTGCCCCATCCCCCGCGCGCCAGGTCGGTTTTGTTCACAAAGGATCTCTTTTGTTCGGAGAGGTACGAAAATGACAGAGCTTTCCACTTGGACAGTGAGATTCTGTAGTTGTCTGCGAGGTCAAAGATGGATGGCTTGAACTATCGTATGAGAGTTGCAAAGACTTCAACTTCTCTCCGAACCAGGCAAGGCAATAAGCCCAACAGTTTGCACAGCGAGATCTTAGGTCATGGGTCACAGGTCGGTTCACCATGGTTCACCTTATGTTTGATGTGGCCATGTTCTCACAGGTTGTCTTCGTGATGGGATAGCGAGATTAGACTATGAGAGGAGACTAGACAAACTTGTATGTGCCAAGAACATTACCCGTAGTTTCCAGTGATTTGCAGTAGTAGTTGATGTCATACAAACAGCTGCAAGCACTTATTTTGTTCTATGGTGTGTTTCAGATGTCTGTAACAAGTAACAATGACCTCCCCCTTGTTTTCAAATCACATCATTCCAAAGTTGCTTTGGACTAATTTCAGACGTATGAGGCAGCACAATACAACAGGCCAGTTTCCTCCGTATTAGACAAGTTGCCTACAGAGTCATGTGTGTTGCTGCTTTACTGTTGTCAAACAGCATACGATGAACCCTTAGCGTATGTATAAACATAATGTAAAAGAGACTGAGCTCTTCTCTTTTGATCTTGTCAAATACATGTTGTTTAGCAGCTGCAGGAGGAGGAGGAGCAGGAGGAGGAGGAGCAGGAGGAGGAGGAGGAG